CCTACTTAACATAAAAAATTACTTTTTATGTAACAGCAGAAAAAAAGAGAGAAAAAAAATTACTTAAGTAAAGCAGTGATTGACAGCTAAGTTAATCAGTAGCTTTGAAAATAAAAAACTTATAACGTAATCGATATTGATTAATATGTTTTATATTTTTTTTTGGTCTTTATAGTAGGGCAAGCTATTTTATTCCACCGGTGGACAAATATTTTTACCGTTGTATTAATTTTTCAACAGTTAGATATTCAATAGGAGTAATTTTATGTGCCGTACTGTAAATTTTAATATAGACTTGTACATATCTAACTATTACAAAACTAATCCAACGGTTGAAAATACTTACCCTATTAGATCTAACTATTACAAAACAATATGCGGGATGAAATTTGCGCTCTTCCAAAGCCAAGGGCCATTTTGACCGTAACTTCGTTTGATTAATGGTTATTGGCTTAGCCATTCGATTTATAGTTATATTGTCGAAGGGAAAAGTAAGTGATAGTTTGAACATTTTGAAGAGATTCCGAATTATATTTGAGCACATTATTTGGGTCAGTTTCAATATTAACACTGCTTAAGAATTATTATATATTATTTTACTAAATAGAGACTATAATTAACATAAATGTTAACATGTCTCAATTAAGTTAGTACCCACTAACACGCCCATCACACACTAAAACCCTCCACTCAAATATATTAATATAAAAAAATACGATCAAAATAAAAGTTGAGAGTAAAAATTCAAATTACAACCTATTACATATATCAGAGCCGAACAAACTGAGAAAATGAAATCAACAAAGCCTGTAACAGAATCTACAATGAAATCGTTGCGCTTGCCATTCTGAAAGAACCATTAGGAGTTAATGGGATACAATACAACTTTTTGAGGACTTTTTTGATGGGAACAATGATCAATATATTCGGAATTTAAACGTAGGATTTAGCATTATCCTTAGACTTATAGTTATTTTAGTCCATAGAAGTTAAGTTATTTTATTTGATGATTAGCTATTAGTATTTATTTGCCTTTGAATTGTATTAAGAGTTTAATTTGATTATTATTAGAATTTATGTGTCTATAATAGAGCCAGTATTTGTATTTTTCACTTTGGACTTAGTTTAATCAGGAATACAAAATTTAAGCTACATTAAATAGACGGTGCCTCGAGAGGAACTGAATTAAGAAAAAGCCTATATGTATATAGGGCTTATATAATAGAAGTAGTAAATTATTTTGGTCCTCACAAACAAATTAATTACGTACAACATATATGTATGATGATTGAACACATTTTAAAGATTGGACACAGGTAATCTCAAAAAAAGAGCTTAATTAATAACCATATAAACTACGTGAACAAGCCTTATATATAGGAGTGTCAACTGAAGATAACATTCATTACATAGGTTATAACATCAAACAACGGTACAGGACGAAAGACGTTACTTGAACGGAAAGTGAAAGATGTAACCAAATTCAACAAACTACAGACACTAGAGTTTATACCCCCAAACTCGGAAAAATTACAATAGTATCTGTTAGGGATTTTGTCAGTTGGCAATTTTTTGGAAATGGGTTGTATAAAATTCAAAAACAGGGTCAAGTTCGAGGACTCCGGAGAAGTACACTCGGTGGTATTCGAGAGACCACCAGATTTTGTGGCGATTTTGATTTGCTAATTGCTCTGAGTATGAAATGTTTTGAAGAAAGAAAGCATACTTGGTCAATGAAAGAGTTGGGAGATTTAGTACAATTATGGAGACAAATGTATATTTAATGAGAGAATTATTTGATGAAAGAATATTAGATTGATTGGCTTATGGAGTTGATTTTGAAATAAGATTTTACTGTCACATTCAAATTAAGAGATTTGTATATTTGTTAGAGATAATGTGCTCATATGAAAAAGTGGAGATCAAGGTTGAATTAGAAATGGATTTTTTGCATAATTGATTTAGAGTGTAAAAGATATTCCAACTATTGCTATATATGTACCATGTGTGTATGTGAAGTTTTGTGGCCTTGAGAAAGAAAATATTGGGTAACCAAAGGAGATGTTTTTGGGGCATGGTTTTTATAAAAAAAATATTCAGAAAAAAATCTATGTGAGAGTGAACCTTGAGTGTTAATTGAAGATCATCATTCGGGAGAATAATTAGAAGCTTTCGGGAGGAAGCGCACTGTTAGTCGAAGGGAGTTTACCGTGCAGTTTGAAGACGAGTGGTGCTCGCTGGACAAGACCTCTAAGAAGATCTACACGATCAATGAGGGAGTCATTGAGTGTGTAAGACCGATCGGTGTTTTGTAGTGTTTTGACATCAGTGGATTGTTCACTGTCTGGGCATGGCCCCGCAGACGTAGGTGTGCGCACCGAACTGTGATACCATATCGTGTGTTTTTTATTTGCTTCTCTGCCTTACTTTTCTGTAAATTTAGCTACTGATTTCTAAAGTGTTATAACACTCTTTATAACACCTGCATAAAAAACACACTTACAATACCTTTTTTCTTATTTCCCTTTTTCTTAAACCAGACCAATCTTAGGAGACGTTGGTTATGGATTAGAATAATGTGATTAGAATCATTTTCGATTTACTTGTATTTTTTGTAAAAGAAAACACTGTAGCGAACCATGAACCATGATTCAAATCATGGTTTGAATCCTCAAACCAAACATCCCCTTACCTATTGGCTATTGCCTTATTGAACTGTATATAACTATGTAATGGTACTGAAAAAGGGCTTATTTATCTATGAAAAAAGGCACATGCATGCAGAGAAGGGATGTAGTCAAGTTATCACCAGGAGGGCTCATGTAACGCCCTTTAGAGTTAAACATGTTTAATTATGCTAAATTGTGAGTTATTAATATACCTAATTTGATTTTCATAATTAATCAAGAGACTCTAAATTATTTTAGTATTTATAATTTCACCCTAAAATTTTTTAAAAATACACTTTACTTTTATTGCATTTTTCTTATTTTTTTCATTTTTCCCTTTTCTTTTCTTTTCTATTTCCTTTTTTCTTTTCTTTTTCCCCTTCCTTTTTCCCCCATGCTCCCACGCCCACCGCATCTCTCTCTCTCTCCCGCCGGCCTTTCTCTCTCCCTTGCTCTCTCTCTTAGTTTCTCTCTCTCTCTCCTGCCGGCCTTTCTCTCTCCCTTGCTCTCTCTATGAGTTTCTCTCTCTCTCTCTCTCTCTCTCGGCAGTTTGGGCGAGACAAAAAAAAAATGAAAACGGGAGAAACCGAGGGAGACAAGGCTCCATCAACTAATTTGAGGTAAAACCCCTTAAAACCTACTCTTTGATTTGAATTTTAAACTTGAGAAAGTTTAATTTTTGTTAGATTTGAATAATTTTGAGTTGGGGTTTAAATTTAAATAATTGTTGTTAGAATTGAATGAAATTAGAGGGTTTTCAGTTATTGGACTTGTTAAATTGATTAGAAATTGGTTTTGATGGATTCTGAAGAATTTATTTTGAAATTGAACTTGAATTGCATGTTTGATATTTTTTCTATTTATGTTGGCATGTTGCCGAAATTTCTTTAAAAAGTTATTTTAAACTGAAATTGAATAGGAAACCAAATCCATGAATTGGATATCAATCTTTAAAGAACCCCCAAAACTGATTATAAAATCGTTTGTGAAATTTGAATTTGAGTAATGGCACACTAATAAGAAATAATTAAACATGATTGAGCTATTAATTCACTGCAATTTCTGTCTATAGTTTACGTTTTGGTATCATGTTGGTTTAATTATTATTATTTTTTATATGAGCAGTTAGATCCATAAGTGTTAAGTTACAAGTAGATATATTTAGAAATTCTTTTAGAAGAACTGGAGAATTTTTTGTTCGCTGGACCCTTAGATTTTCTTCCTTTTTTTTTCCTTAAAGCAAACAAATATTTTAAATTTATTAATTTTTTTATTTTTTATTTGGAAATGAAATTCACCAGGCATTTTTTTTTCAGGGTAAATTCTCCAGGCGTGGTTAAATATACATTAATAACCACTTATTGATGACCATAAAGCTTTATTACTACGCATTATACGAGTTCACTACATAGTTAGGATTACGTGCGGCATTTGTTTTTATAAAAAAAGCAATGTCATAGTTTAGTAAACATATGTAATATAGTTGCATTTTTTAATTGGAAAGTAATATTGTGCATTTCTATATTGTGGTTTTACTTTATAATTAATTGGTTTCTTCACACTCTTCTTCCAAGGAAATAATAATTTGGATTCTCAAAAAAAAAAAAAAAAATTTAAAAAGACAAAATTGACAAATATTCCGGACCTCAAAGGCACACGATCCTCAACAATGATTAAAAATAGAAATTAGAATGCATATCCAAATTCAAATACAAAAGCACACTGATTTTATTTTGACTTTCGTCTAGACAACACTCGAAGAGAAACAAATTGAACAACACAATTACACTGGTCGAACATAAAAGAAAATACAAATTATTGATAGAACACGCGGTAAATATGCCGTGACTTATATAATTGTATCAAGCTAAGCTTATTTCATTATTTATTAGCACACGATCGATTCGAGACGGTACAGTTGAAAATAACTACGCAATGACTTTGGCGTTGGCCAGTCGGAGCCTCCTTTCGTCGGAAAGTAGCTTTACAAATCTGTTAGAACAGAAGGGTTTCAGTAAAACAATTAATATTAATAAAAAAGTTGAATAAAAATAAAAATAAAAATTAAACTAAGTAATTTAAAAGTTGATTAATTTTTATAGTCTATATAATGTGACAGAAAATATATATGTGTAACCTTTTGAGTTCTTCCTGGTTGGAGGGACCATTTGGAATGGGTTCGTAGAGACCCGTGGCCAAGTTGATGTGAGTAACAGTTTTCTTGAGCAGCTTCTTGCCCGCTTCCACAAGATTGTTCAAGTTCTTTGTGGTAGCTATGTCCACAGAAGCAAGATCTTAAACTAGTTAAGTGATGGATACTGATCTTAATTATGTTCTATTATTATGTTAATCTAACACATACCTTGCTTGTGGGAAAATTTTGGGGCAATGCTCAAGGTAAAAAGGGACAATGCCGTTGGCAGCATATAAAGGCCGGTTATCTTTGTTGGGCGCCGTTAACATGGCCGTAATAAGACCACCCGTGCTAGTCCCAGTAATCACGTCGAAGTAATCAGCAAGCCTCACATCTTTCCCATCTAGTTCCTATATAATTACAACGCATTTGCGCCTTATTAGAATTCACGTACCATTACACCATACATGACACACACACACACACATATATATATATATATGGTTAATTACATAAATATACCTTTCAGTTTTATTTTTTATTTTTTGAAAATTTGTTATTTTTAGAAACTACAAAGGTATAAATTGAATTTGAAAAACATGTTTCGTTTTCATCCTTCATGCACTGCAAAATACAAATACACCTTTAATTAGACTGAATTTGTATCTTGAAATATATTTCTTGAAATAATTCTCAGAAACTATTTAAAAGCATTTTTGTCTTCCCACTCATGTTTTTTTTTTTTTTTTTTTTTTTTTTCCACAAAATGCAAGAATGAAATTGAAATAAGTTTTTCAAATCTAAAGGACGCTTTTGTAGTTTCTAAAATTAGAGGAATAAATAGAGAAAATCTCAAAACTAGGAGGCTTTTTTTTTTTGGTGGCAAAAAAGAGTGGCCTTTCCTTGAGTATCTTACTTGAAGTTGAGATTCAAGGTACTCAAGAAGAACCCCCGGGATGATTCCTCTAATTCCTCCTCCATCTATGCTGAGGATGGTGATAAGGTTTCCCTTTTTGGGAGGCTGAATTCTCTCGGCCATTGAAACTAGTGTTTGTGGAAAGTTGCGAAAAAGAAAAGGAAAAGGCTTGTATTATAATGTAAGCAAGCGTTTGTATTGCTTTGTGGTGGAAGCACCTAGAGCGAGTAGTCCTATTTATAGTTGTCATTAACGTGTAGGAAAAAAAAAAAAAAAACGTGTGCACTGTAATTCTTCTGCAAAAGAAACACATGTTACTCTTTGTGCTCTATTCTTATCTGATTTTTTTCTTTAGTTACTATACCCGCCAACAATATGGAATTATTTATATTTGTTTATTTATTTTACAAAAGTCTGCATTCCATTTATAAATTTCTTAAAAATATACATGACATCTTCTTCATAACATAATGTTATTAATTGTATGCTTAAGTAAAATTTGTAACTATTAATTAAATTTCTTAAGAATTGAAGTGTCGGATCTTGCGCAGCGCGCCTTATGTCCTTTTGTGTATCCCCTCTTTCGTGCAGTACTTGCCTGATATGTGTCAAACATTTTACTGCAACCATTTAAATTCCGGCACCTGTCAAGCATAAGGCATCCAAAATAGGGGAATTTTTTTAGAAAATATAGATATCGTTTATTTCATAATTTTGAGTTTTTAATTTTAGTTTTATTATAGTTAAAAGCTCTTAAAAAAAGTCACATTTTATTTTTTGTACTACAGTAAAAAGCTCTTATATAAAATCACATATCAACTCGAATTAAAAACTCAAATTCAAGAACAGAACGAGGCCTTAATGTCTCTTTTTAAAATTATTTTATTAATAATTTTATTTTGGATTGAAGAAGGTAATTTTGAGGCTGTAATTTGGAAAGGAATAAGATTTAGAAGGCGAAATCTAGAGACTTGTGACACCTTCATTTAGTTTTATTTTCTAATTTTTCTAATTCATTTTTTTGTTTTTTATTTATATCGGAACTAATATTTTGTTAGTTCATTTACCGGATTATGAGTATTTTGATTTTTATTATTTTAAATTAATTAATGTTTTATTTCCAATTATGTTGAGTGTTTCATTCCGTTCCTTAATGCTTGTGATTACCCGATGAACAATTGTATGAATTGGTATTTAATTTGAGACTGAGAAGTGATGAATAAATATGGCCATGAATGTGATGCCATAGGAATTTCATAAGGTAGAGATATTATGAGTTTTATGTAGTGCTATGATTTCCCGTTCTTAATGAGTTTTAGAATCTTGACCGAGATGTAGGGACTGCATTGTTGAAATACTATCATTTATGCTTGAGAAAGATTAATAATTAATTTAGAAAAATTCACATTGAGCATAGGGGTGGACATAATTAATTTAAATAGGGACTTTCAGGTATGATCAATTTTGGTGAGTCGTAGACCTGGATAATTTAGGTTATTATTTTATTTTATTATTTTCATTTTAATTTCAATTATTCAAATAATATTAAGGTTAACCAATTTCGGTACTTTATTGAATTAATGCAATCTTTGTGTGATCGATACTCTGTACTCACACTTTATTACTTGTTTCAATATTATGAACTTGGGATTTTCTACAGCACAAAGCCATAAATTTTTGTGAGGGGGACTAATTTTAACTATATAAAAAATTTATTAAAAATTAATTGTTAAGATGCTATAAATTGTTCTCAATGAAATTTTAAGTTCAAAAAATATTGTTTAGGGATTAGTATCCTTAGATATATGTCTTTAAAGAGTAGTCCTTTTAAAATTTTTTAAAGGTTTAAAGATTAAATTTTTAATTTTTAAAGGGGCTATATCAAATTTCCTTCTATAAATATACTTGTAAAACACATAGGTTAAAAACAAATTTAAAAGGTTGTGGGGAGTTAAGCCCCCTAGGTGATGAGAAGGTTATTTACTGACAAATCAAGTATTTTTGAATTTAAATATTTGTAAGTTTTTAAGCATTTTTGTTAGTTTAATGTGTTTTATTTTGTTTTTGTAGGTTTAAGCTAAAATGGAATAAAAGGAGCGAAAATTTAACTTCCGAACATACTTTAGTATTTTGGTATTTTGGGCATAACTTTGTGACTAGAAGTCTAAATGGGGTGATCTTTGTGGCGTTGAAAAGATAAGACATAGATCCACAACTTTCATGAAAACACTAAATGCTAATTCGGCCATATAGATGGCTAAAATCCTCCTCAAAGTCAGAAATCCATTGCAACAGTGCTGCAGCGGGTTTGCCTGCGCCACTAAGATTTTTTTTTGAAATCCTAATAGTGTTGCAGCGGGAAATTGATCCACTGCAATGCCAATATGTATAATGCTGTCATTTTAGGGCAGATTTGAGGAAGAGGGGAAAAAGATACATAAAATCCCTAGAGAAGAAGGAACTTTGGAGGCTCAAATCCCATGATTTCAATGAAGATCCTTGAAGAAGATGGTGGATTGAAGCTTAGAAGATCATTCTTCCAACATAGTTCTTCCTTCTCCCTTTATTTTCTTTTTAGTTTTTTAGATTCTGTTTTTGGTTATAGATTCCTCTATGTTGAGCTAGAATATTATTTTAGGACTTGATGTAACCTTCTTTGAACTATGTTCTGAATATTTTACCAAATGTTAGTTTGATTTCCACTTAATTCATTTGTGTTTCTCTATGTTTATTACTCTAATTTCTATTTTCATGGATTAGAGATATAGATGTGTGAATTTAGGCTCGAGAAACTTACTTTCACTTGTTAGAATTGGGAAACACAACCTAGATTTAGTTGAGTTCGGGAAGCCAATTAATTCGGGTAATCAAATTTAGGTTGCAATGGATGCTTGATTCGGTTTGGCTAATAGGGATATTGTTTAACTGGGGTTTGCATACAATTTTGCTCTGCATTCGGGAGAGAGAGTGAAATTACCTTCGAAGACCTAAGATTAATAAATTGAATGGAATTGACTAGCATTGGCTTGACAGGATGAACATTGGAATAATAAGGTGAAGTTAAGTTACGATAATTGCGGTACTTAGCGTCAATTTAACACTCAATGCCTGTGGAGACAATACTCACTCACCCTACACTATAACAACATGACACCATACGCTTGCGGGTGAACCAGTTCTTGGTGCCGTTGCTGGGGATTGGCATTTTAGATTGTTGCTAATATTGTTAGTAAGTAGCTTGATTTTAATTTTGGTGTTTCTTTACTTCTTATTGATTTTTATTTTGTTTTACTTTTCTTTGTTTTTAATTACATTGGTTTTGTAGTTTTTATGTTGTTTTCCTAGTTTTTATTTCTTTTGAGTGCTTGATTTTTGTGAGGTACTTAGAGATGTCACATCAACTAATCCTCTTAAGATTTACTCAATGAGACTCGTAGCTGTTTTATAGTGCTTGGGATAGATATAAGGAATTACTTATTGGGCTCCCCGAGCATGGCCTCTCGAAAGAGTGTCAACTACAAAACTTCCTCGATGGGTTAAACGCCGCAACACGAACTTGGGTGGAAAGAGGAAATGGTACCAATTATCAGCATATGAAGTGTATTAGTTTTTGGAAGACATGGCCAATTATGACAATTGGTGTTGGAATCATTCTCTAAACAACCAAGGTTGGGAAGAGAATTCTAAATTTTTGGAGCCAAGGTATGACACTTAACCACACCAATCGTAGTCTTCCCTAGACCTTGAAGAGATTCTTGCCTAATTTGTAGAGGAGACAAGGCTTAGTAGAGAGAAGTTGGAGAGGATGGAGACCCTTCGTAACCTACAAGACGAGCTTGCCCGACTTCAAGCCGAGTGTTTAAGAATGAAGGAGTCTTCAAATGATCCAATTGAAGCCATAAGAAGGACGGTGGCAATAAGGGACTCACAAGTCATCAACATGTATGAAAGCCACCGTGAGGAGCCGAGTACAAGTAGGAGGAACTTGGATTTGTTCGATGATGATGATTCAATTGAGGAAGAAACTCAAGAAGTGTTCATCAATGATGAGGAATCACAAGATGAAGTTCAAGAGTCTACACCTTTTGAGATCCAAGTTGTTATGCCACCACTGATCAAAGAAGAACACATCTATGAAGATCCAAAGTGGTTGTCACCTCCTCCACCATCTCTACCACTGTTCATTCAAGCCTACCAAGCTTATGAGCCTGAGCTAAGTCAAGTTGAGCGAATGAGCCAATTAATTCCATATCCCGCCAAGCTTGAGGGTGTCAAGAATCAAGACCCATATGTCGTGTTGTACGACACATACTATGGGCGGAAGCCACTCTTTGATGAGCTTCCATGGTATTGGAATAAGTGAGCCTCAAGATGCAATTTATGGAGGAAGGCCCGCAACATCCTGAGTATAAGCCACTATGCCCTTAGCATCTTCGCCGACCACATTAGGAGGCGAGATTGTCTCGCCTCCCCAGTACGTATTCTTTTTCCCTTGTGCTTAAATTGATTATTTAAACATTGAGGACAATGTTTCTCTTGAGTTTGGGGGTGGGAACACTTGTTTGTTGATTTCCTTCGGTTTTGATTTTGCTTTTGTGTTGGTTAATGTGACTTTTCTTCTTATGAGTTGTGTTCTCTTGGCTAGAATTTTATTTGTGTTTGTTTTAGTTTATTTGAATAGGTTGTGAGTTTTGTTGAAATGAGATAGCTATAATTCGATGATGATAATGCATGTTACAATTTGTTTCTTAGGTCTTTGGAAATGTAATTCATTGATTTTTCTGTGTGCTTAACGTGCATTGATTGAACCTCATTTTTGATTCTCGACTTTTGAGCACTTTGAACCGTGATCACTTGATATTTTGAGCCTTTGGAGAATATTTGTGTGCATTAGATGGACTTTGATATCTCATGAACTCTAGAACCCATTTGAGTGAAGCTCGAGGTGAAATACTAGGTTGGGGTGTTGTTGAAGAAATGATTTAGGCATTTTCTTGGATTGTTTGAGCCTTAAATAGCTAACCTATGGAAAACTTACCACTAGTCTCCCCACTCGAGGCGAAATCCTAGGTTGGGATGTTGTTGAAGAAATTATTTAGGCATTTTCTTGGATCGTTTGACCCTTAAATAGCTAACCT